TGTGTATCTAGTACATGGGTATGATGTGTTATGTATACTGTATGGGTAGGTATATTGTATAATATACAAAGCGAATATGGCATGCTGGGATTTAAAAAAATATATAATTATTGTCAATTTTGTCCTCTGATTCGACCAAATTCATCGATTTGGAATCTGATGAGACAAAAAATATAGAAATATATTTTAAAAATTATTGAGATCACGGTTACTCAAATACCGAATTGCAAATTTAAAAACTACGTTTTAATTTGAAATTTATACGCGATATGTTAATGGTTTATCGTGTCTTATATTATACTTCTTTTAGTTATTATATAACATGCGTGCATTAGACAAAAAATAACGTTTCACGGTGTTTTTGTTTAATAATGGTAAAGAACATAGCGAGACCTCAAATGTGTATCTAGTACATGGGTATGATGTGTTATGTATACTGTATGGGTAGGTACCTACATTGTGTATTATACAAAGCGAATATGGCATGCTGGGATTTAAAAAAAAATATAATTATTGTCAATTTTGTCCTCTGATTCGACCAAATTCATCGATTTGGAATCTGATGAGACAAAAAATATAGAAATATATTTTAAAAATTATTGAGATCACGGTTACTCGAATACCGAATCGCAAATTTAAAAACACCGTTTTAATTTGAAATCTATACGCGATATGTTAATGGTTTATCATCATGGTCTTATATTATTATACGTTTATTATATAACATGCGTGCATTAGACAAAAAATAACATTTCACGGTGGTTTTGTTTAATAATGGTAAAAAACATAACGAGACCTCAAATGTGTATCTAGTACACGATGGGTATGTGTTATGTACACTGTAATACTGTATATAGGTAGCCCAGGTAGGTTTATTGTATAATATACAAAATGAAGATGGAATTTAAAAAAATACATATAATTATTGTTAATTTGTACTCTGATTCGACCAAATTTATCGATTTAGAATCTGATGAGACAAAAAATATAGAAATATATTTTAATTTATATTATTTATAAACAGGGTGATTCGCCGAGCGTGCTCATCCCCAATTTTTCTTTGATAACGAATTTAGGTATTCAACTTCTTGAGAATTTTTGAACCACTATTAATAATTCGAATTTTGTAGCAGTGTAACGATACTAACTTCTGTTTTTTTTTTTTTACTGTACATTATCTAGTGGATAATTTGTTTGAAAATATTGAAGTTTACCTAATTCTAGTTTCTCAGTTATTATAATGATTTTATTCACTAAATTAGTATGAATAATGAAGTCATTAAAAATGGATTTAAAAAATTATCAAATAGACGTACATAATATTAAATCTAGTATTTATAATGCCCTGGTCATTTTAACAAATTGTAAATTTTTAAAAATCAATAATAATTTTTTATTACTAACATTTTAAAATCACCATGGGCGTCATCTTCCAAACCCATTATCATGAACCTATCAATCAAAACAAATCTTTCGAACTTTGATTTTGATACATTTAAATGTTAAGAAAAATTATCAACTAAATAATTTATAGTAGAAAATGGGGATTGTCATTTTGAAAACTCCTTAGGTAATACAAAATATCTAAAGAATTTTAAAATATGGTCCTTAAGCATATTAAAAAATTCCAAAACAACCGCATGTTTAAGGAAAAAGTGGGTGATTTGGTGATGCTCATTGCTGGGTTCATCACCTTGTACATTACATTTATATGTAGTTGTCAATCTGTTTATTAATAAATTGTATAGACGCAGTAATCATAGACAGTAAATATATATGTCGTTAAAAGGATTTCGATTCAATCAACAAACGCATTAATTTTTAACCTAATAGTTCAAAATATATACAAATATTAAGTGTATATATCGTAAATCCATAAAACAAAAATAATCATCTATAATATTAATTAAAACTTGGAATAGTGAATTATTTAAAAAATAGTTTTTTTAACGGTTATTGCGGATTTTACCAAAATATATTAATTTTATAAATTACAATTTAACATGTTTTTTGAAAAACACTTAAGGGTGCGATTCGATACCGTGATTTTTTGTCTTTGTCCATAACACATGCGCGTGACATAGGATTTTCGGTACAGATGTGTTCTTTGCCAAACGCCCAAATTGATCTAATGAAGCGATAAAAATTCTAAAAAAAAGAATTGAATTTGTCCTCAAGACTAATTTAGATTGACTTTCCCGACTTATTATCCCCCAAAATCTTAAAAACGTTACATCAAAAAAGAGTAATTACAAAATTGTCATATTTTAATTTTTGGAGGAGTAAAATCAAAAAATCAAAAAATGTGGAAAAGTCGATGTGAAGTAGGACTTGACCGCAAATTCAAATCGGTTTTCAGAATTCTTTTCGTTTCTCAATATCAATCGATTGATATTTTGGCAAAGAACACGGCAAAAATCCTAGTATGTCGTACAGTGTGTGTTGGACAAAGGCAGAAAATCATGGTATCGAATCCCATTAGAAATACCAATAACATTTAGCTGGCAAATCATGCTGAGAAAAAATTTCTCCTCGAATGCGACGATTGTATGATAAAATATGCTAAATTTCTTATGCCACCTGCAGGTGAGACGAGTAACTCGAGGTGAGAGACGTATCACCCGATATTCTGCAAGTAGTTCTGTATCCTGTCCGCGAACTATTTGTTTGTATTATGATTTACTGTTTAGCACACCACCACTTACTATTCGATAATTAGGTCATTGTAATCGACAATTATATTTGTGTACATATTATTTATCCGTGTTATTTAATAGTATTGAAAACGATTACGATGAAAAAATTCGATAATATTGTCAAATGTATTATAATTTATAGCGCGTGGAACATAAATAATATTCGTTAAAAATTAAGGTGGACATTATAGATACGTTTACAAGTAATTCTGGTTCTAAAATATTATTACGTATTGTATTCTTAACCTGTGGCATATATTTGGTCATGAATAAAAGTAAATGGTGATGAATAACGGCCAACCCGATAAAGGACGCTCATCTATAAATATAAATAAGTGGTCAATTTTAAAAAAAAAAATCATCGGCATTCGCGATGTAATATGTTTCTAGCATTTCAAAATGTGCCGCACTCTGATAGTAATGACTAATGACATTTAAAATTTTCTGCTAAAAAAAATAGTTATTGGCTTTTCATGTGAGTTTATAAACTTTTACTAATTAATTTATTTGTTTTCGTTTTAGACATATGATGCGACTCGTTCGGACTAAATCCACACGCGATGTCTGGAAGAATTGAGAAGTCTGAATAACTATCAATGACTGAATGACATCCAGCTCGATGTGGTTTCCATTACTATTAATTGCCCGACTTGGAAACGAAATTCCATAGTTATTCGTACACTATACTTGGCCAGTACCATTACCTACTACCAGACTATGGCTAACCCCTCAATTACTACTATTCTAAACAAACGCCTTCGTCATGCTTCGAAAAATAAATATTTTTTCCAATAATAATAATTACCTATATAGGTATTATTATTAAAATATTAAATGTATCGCAGGAACGTGATGAAGAAAAAACTGCCAAACGGTATTTTGTATGGAAATAACAAATGAAAAAGAAAAAACAAGATTTCATTTTACTCTCGTACAAAAAATACACGATATCATTTCCACCTCATTACATCATACATCGCTATAGTAACTCATTTTAAATAACAGTTAGGTACTTGCTAGTTTTATCAATTCATATTGAATGCATAACATGTAAATAGTTTTAAATATTTCAAATTATTGAACCTGTAAATATAGATTTAACAAATATAATATGACTACCTATATCATAAGCATTGTAAACGAATTTCATTTTCATTAGGTATTTCAAAATTCAAATAGACAACGATCGACAGTCTTGACTATTATTACTTATTTTCATTACATCATATTATATTTTAATTTTTATAATATTGTACTATTATTGTTATTTACGTGTATACCTTAGTTTATAATGTAATATATTAAGTGAATGCTGTATATATAATTATTGTTAACCGCAATAATTATTTTATTATATTACCTATTTACCTATACATAATGTTATACACCTAATAATGGCTCATGATTATTATCCTGCAGTCATGAACAAGCTTGGTTTGAATACACTTATTAGTTGATAGAAAGCAAGTTGCTAATTTAATTTTCTCAGCTGACTAATCGATGGCTATATTGACTGACCTGTACTACGTTCTATGATAAAGTCCCTTCGACTTGTGTCTGTCATAAACTCACAATGTATCAATTTTCTATACCTATGAAAACAACACCAATTGTCTTGAGAACAAGCCATTAATTAGAATGATGTGTGCGGTAAATGGCATCATCTATTGTTAGTATATTTTGTATTTGTTGTTATGTAGGTATAATATTATTATAAATTATTATTAGTTATTATTATTAAAATATGTTCATGTAATTGGGCTTCAGCCCGTATTGTCAAATAATATGAATAAAATAAATACAAAAATATGTTCTATTTACATGTATGTAAATATATAATAAAATGAACAATTTCCTCTTCTTCTATCCTATATGATGTAAGACATAATATAGGTATATAAATTAAATACATAAAAAGATTAATAATTTTGAAGTTCTTTATTGAACAAAAATGCATTCCATACTAAACATTAAATATGATTAAATGTAAGTATACTTATATAAATGCAAAAAATTTACAAATAAATTATTAGACTAAAATATTATGTAGGTACTTAATGTTTACGAAAACTTTTTACAATTTTTATTTTTAATGCCAATAGTACAAAATAATATACTGAAAAAAATTATTAAATATACCATAATAACGAACAACAATATTTTAGATTTAAAAAATCTATCACACCGTACCTATATATATATATATATATATATATTGGTATTATAATATTGTATTCGTCCTTGTTATTTACTGTATACTTATTTGAGCCGATATTGTAAATTGTATTTCTACCTACTTAATATTTAATTAGTATTATTGTTGTTGATACTAATACTTTCTGATTCTGCAATTTTCTGTTCGGCTTGGCTGTTTAACAGTGGTGCTATAAGACTCGAGAGTTTGAAACGATTCCTAAAAATAAAATATAAATTATCAGTTTAATTTTTTATAAACGTTTAGCATATTATGTCCTTAAATAATATAACATGTGATTATAGTGATTGGCTAGAATATAATATTTTCATACACTATACGTCTGCGGGGTGTGCCTATAGTTATGTGAAGTAATGGACTAAATTTAATACTATGATAACTTTTAAGTAACGGAAAATAAATAGGTTATACGAATTGTTGTTGCCTAATTAAGAAATAAAAAGGAACATTTTACCATAGACAACTTGAATGGAAAACCCTGCTTTTATCACATCAAGATTGAGTTTTTTCAATTAAAAAAAAAATCCATTAACTTTCACTAAAGCTATGTATATAATTCTATACAATAGTTATAGACACACAATTTATAGAATGATAACAATATATATTTTAATACATTGTGAATGCTAGCGAAACTAGGACATATTTTTATTCTTTATTAAATGTATAAGTACCTATTATATATTTTTAAATTTTAAAAATTAATTTTTTAGTAAAAATCCTAAATTGAGTAAAGTTTTTTATTTAGATACCTTTTAAAGTTATCATTATTTATTCATACCGTTTTAAACAATTTGATTAAATTGTCTATACAAACAAAACTCTTCTCTCTAATACTTAGGATTTATAAAATGGACAAATATAATAGTTAATTCTATAATCATTATGATATTATACAGTGAAACCTCGATAAGTCGCAATTCAAGGGAAATACATTTTTGTTTTACTTGTAGAGGATTTCGACTTACTTACAACGGTTAGGTTTGGTTAGAAAGGACATTTATTTCGACTTATTAATGTTTTCGACTCATCGAGGTTCCACTGTAGATAGTAGTTAATAGTTCTAAGCTGAAGAGTCAGAGCATACCCAAACCTGCAGTGACATTTCATGAGTGTATATTATATAGGTGCATATATATCTAAAACGTAATAAATAAAAAACAAATTTGGGTTTTAATATTTTTCAAATGATTTATAAAGAACTTTGATTAAATTGTTTAAATATTAAATTATTTTACACTCTTTTTACCTCGAAACTTTTGATTGCTTACTTATAAATTATAATACATTAACCTGCAGCTCAGAATATGGTATATATTTGAAACCTATAACCAACATAATATATATTGTGCATCGTGCATGTATATCAAATATTGATATGTATCGTGATGTTTATCAATTACAATAATATTATACACCTATAACATATTATAGGTACCTAGACAAATAGACAGAAAATTCCTATTAAACGTGTACGTATTTTAATTATTTTTCGTGCTATTATTACATTTGCACGAAGACAGTTGCATACACAATTTTTACATAACTCTGAGACTACAATACTACACAGAATAATATATAGATTATAAAAAATAAATATCATACTCTTATAAACTCTCAGAATCTATATTTTTTGACGATTAATGCAATTCTGACATTTTACGTTGCCCTTTATGTAACAAACGTCAAACATACTTTATAGGTGAACCAATTTTCCCATTTTCCCATTACCTATACTTTATCAACTTAATTTATGTATGTATTATTATTGAAAAAATTATTTGTGGCTGTCATCACTTTTTGGAGCAGTAAAAATGTTTTAATCATCCACATTAAGAGTGGTTTATGATAGAAAATTGAATCATGTAAGTAGTGTTGGACGTTGGTACTAAGGGGATTTTAGGGGTCAAATTTAAAAATTATTCCCAATACATTTTAAAATAATTCGAAAAAATTAATAGAAATCAGTGAAAAACGATTTTATTTTTTTTTTTAATTCATTAATGAACGACATTATAAACTGTTAAAATGTTCAATGAATATTCAAATAAGATATTTGAAGTCATAATATTATTTTTTAAATACTTTGGCTCTTTTCAAACTATTTATTAAAAGTTTTCTTTCGATTTATGTTCATAACTTTTTTTTCCATATCAAAAAGCTTGAAAATTTAGTGTAAGGTTAATCATACGATTTTCAAATAGCAATTATCCATAATATAAAGTCACCATTTTTTTATAAGCGTTTAATGTTCATATGTTCACAAAATAAAGAACATGTGCAAATTATTTTCTAGTTAAAATGCATACAATTTTTCATTTTTAATGCATAGTTGAAGCTTGGAAATCTAGTACAAGGTTTTTCATAAGTCGTTTATTATACCACTTTGCTTGAGTTAATGAAATTAAGCGGTATGGCTTACATTATATTTATCATTTGAAAATCATTAGTCGATATAATAGGTTATTTCAGCTACAAACATAATTAGACAATTATAATTATTTTCAATTTTTCATAAAGTTATTAATTTTTGAAATAATGAATAGTCGCCGAAGTTGGACTACGCTAATTGTCATAGTCTATACTATATGGTTCTACTCTGCCAGTTTCTGATACTCCTTTTTGCCTAGTATACATATAGTATAATAGGTATAGGAAACCACAAAAAATTGGCCAAGAAAATTAATGTACCTATATATTCGGTTAAACAGATTTTTCCTTGGCATCTCGTGGCTTGTATGTACATTAAGTATATAGTGCATAAGTATTCATACTATATACAAGTGCAATATACGCCACGGGAACCAGTGGCGATGGAATATATAAATTTGGGCTCCAACATTTGTATAATACCTATAGTTCTACCTAACGGAACTTTTAACTATCAATTTTATACATACGCATAATGTATCACTGATAAATGACATATCGACGTGATTACGTGTTTTTTTTCAATGTATACACTGCAGCAATAAGTACGATGCCTACAACTGTATAGACGACGCAAAATATTATAAAAATGAATAATTATATACCATCATAATATTATAATGCTTCTGCAGGTGCGTAGGCAATATTATGTTAAATATATAGGTAATTGGGTTATACTGACTTCTTGGCGGCCTGCCTATGCCGGTTGTTGCACTTGAACCCGGTGCACTCGACACCCGTCGGCCGGTGTTCCGACGCTGCGCCTGCCAACTCCGAGTTGAGAAACTGCGCGCCGGCCATGGACATGATCTGGAACAGGCCGTCGGCCGGGGCCAGCACCACTTTCAGGTCGCTCAGGCTGATCCGCACGTTCTCGGTGCCGTTCTGCCGCTGGTCGTACGTCACCACGTCCTCCGCCGCGTCCGGCGCTGCGGGCTCGGCCAGCGGGACCGCGACGACGGTCACTGCCGCCCCGGCGGTCAGCGCCAACAGGACGTAACCGCTCCAGAACAATTGACGGCGCATGGCGACTGACGTGGATCGCTGAGCGCGTATGATATGACGATGATGGATCCGCAGATGTCGCAGGATGTATGTTTATGACGGTAATGTAGACGTAGGGTCGATCTGTGCTCAGATCGCGGTGACGGCGGGATTCGCTGCAGACGTTACACCGGAGGAACTGCGCTAACTGGACCGGTGGACGGCTGCAAGGACAAAGTGCCCGCTGTCTCCTCCGCTGGCCCGCGACGACGACGACGGCGCGTAGCTCCGACGATGAGCAGGAGGAGGACGTGGCGACGGTCGCGGAGCCGTGCGGCGGAAGAGGTGGACGCGGCCGATCTCTGCGCGGAGATCTCGCGGAACGTTCGCAGAATAGCCTCCTACTTCGCGTAAAACCGGTCGATGCCCGGTGTATCTATTTGTATGTTATAGGTACCTATATATTATTATAATAATAATAATAATAATAATATCATTATTGCAGTTCGGGTCATTGACGCGTAACCTCCATACGACATGACCGTTACTGCTTGCATATAAGAATATTCGATGTACCTGTGTGTCCGATATCCCCCGTTAAGGGGATCGGTGGCGGACAGTTATTTTAGTATATATAAATATATTATAATTTAAGTAGATGTAAAAACAGAAGAACCTCAGTATAGTAAGTACCGAGTACACTATAATCATCTGTATATACGTTTCGCCTCATCTATATATAGCTCCAGCCTGCAGCAGAAACGTATAATATAGAAGTATTATAGAATCATACAAGTCCGCTGCCTGCATTAATATAACGATCGAGATAGTGTGGGGAAGATGGCGGTGTGATTTGAAAACATTTAATCAATTTACAAGTATACCGCTATCGCCTCATCTACTGCATTATATTATATTGGTAGGTACTACAGAGATATGGGGAATTTCTTTAATTACATTTAAGTACAATTTTAATATATAAGTAGATATATAACCTCCCACTATGATATTGGATCCACCAATCACTATATTATACACACATGCCTGCAACAGAATTATTGTTGAGGGAAGTACTACCCTACTCCAGAAGATTTTTATCACTGCAGTTATCTATTATTACTCGAGTGTTTTTGAAAAAAAATAAATAGATAAAGTTACAGACATCTCTGTTGATATGATAAAAGTCCCATAATAATTTGGTTCTCAAAAATAAACACTTTCAATGCATATATTATAGATATAATACATTTAATGGACAATCAAACATAATATTTAGCTCTACTGTACAATGTTAAAAACTTTTGGGCATATTTTTTCATCAATGTTTATTTGAACGAGTTCGTGACTTCTGTAATTTTACATAATTTTTTACTCCTACCAAAATTACAAATGTCCATGCTGTTCAGTTTAGGACTATAAGTGTTATTTATATCAATAATTATAATGAACAATAAAACGTACTATTTTTTGTGGAAAAGGTATGCGGTATATTATAGTATCTAATATTATTCCATTTTATCCTAGTGTGGATATAAACAATAAATAAATTGTTTCCAAAAAAAAAATTGTATGAATAGATTGTTTTATACCACATAAATATTATATACCTACCAATTTGATTTAAATGTAGATTACTTTGAAAATGTCCGGAAATCACTTAAAAATGAACGGTGAATACCTATACCTACCTAGTTAATCGACTAAGTTTTTTTAAAAAATAATATTATAAGCGTGATGCGTACATAATTATTCAATGAACCAGAAAGTCCTTATTTTAAATAAATATAATATAATAATAAATACCTACGTTTCTTTGACCATTCTCAGAGAATTTCACGTTATAATAATATATTAGGTACCTATATAGTTAGGTATTTGAAAAAAAAACTTTTCTGATTGATTAAACTATATATAAAACCACATTATTCCCTCTATACTTTTTAAAACATGGTCATCATTAACTTATCATCTAAAAAATTTAATTTTTTAAAGAAATATTCAAGGTACCTAACATAGCTAATAATATTTTGTTTTAAAATACAAATCATCAGTGATGGTAAAAGCGTATAACACAAATAATTATAATAAATAATATATGAAAGCCAACCAATTTTAAATGAAAAATATTTATTCAATTTTAGGATTAAAAACATTATTCTCTACAACATAATAATATAAATTATTTTAGTTGTCTAACGGAGGTACAAAAACCACTATAACAAACGTTTATTAAGTTCTAATAGAAATCTGTCGAAATCGCCCGATGTGCCTACCAACTAAAATAAATGTGACACATATAAATCGTTATTGAAAAACAATTTAAAATCTATCAAAGAAGATAATATAATAAGAAGAAAATACGTGAAGAGATGTGTATAACCCACTTGTGAATTTGTCACTTAGTTTTAACCTACCTACAATTTAATAAGCACAAACATACCAACATGGCATCATATAAAATGCGTAGCGACTATAATTTGAAAAGTTATTGTTACCTGTCAATTGTACCCACCAATAAGACAAATATATACTCTAATAATAATTGGATAATATTTTCTAAATACAAATAACTAAGATGAATCGAAGTCAATCAAATGTTTGTACCACCCAGAATATTAAAAGTAGGTATAGGAAAGTGAACGAACAGATCCAAAATTCTGCAGTTTTACACATTTTATTCACGAAACTCACAGTTTACCTATTTATTATTTTCCAATATTATAATCACAACAAAAACCCTTCGTAAACTACGTGTAAAAATGGCTAAGTAAAAAAAATATAAGATCTGTAAGCACTATAAATACGTGATGACTTGGCGAGGAATTATTTCTTAAATGAAACAAAGTGTGATGAACAAAATAATTAAATGGCGAAGGATTGAATGACTATTGAAATATAACCTATATTATTATTTTAAAAATAATATTATTATTAATATTTATATACTATTCTAAATAATTCCTCGCCAAGTAAATCAATTATTGAAAGAAAATAAGTTTAATTAAATTCAATATACTTAGCATTTAATCATATCACATCTTTATAGTGCTTAAATACCTTATATTTTTTTTACTTAGCCATTTTCACAAGTAGTTTACGAAGGGTTTTTGTTGTGATATCACTAATTTGTATTGTTATTAAATATTGAATATTTAATATTTACACAATAATCTATAAGAACGGTAATATTTTTGGTAACAATGGCAAAGGCTGATGCGACGACGACGACGGCGGCTACCGTGATTCTGAATTTAATATAAATTTCCATTAAAAAATTCACACTTTTTCATTTATAACTTAATTTGTACGATTTTGATGATTTTTACAAAAGCACGTTATACACAATATTTTTGAAGTTTTGGAGTTTACTTGGGGCTAATTTATGAAATAGAAAGTTAGTTATGTGTATGTCTTATAACAAATTTACCTGTATTTTTTACAGCTTAAATAGGCTTTCGATGTACTATATAGGTACATCACACATGATCACACCTTCGTGCAGTTATTATTATTTTTTTAATTACAACCGTGTGGCTGGATATCAATAATAATAGTGGTCTTCGGAAAAATTAACGCTCTATTTTGTATTAAGTAAATTTTATATCGTACTTTATTGTTATTATTTGAATTTAAATTTGATGTCTAATTTGAGAACCTCTCACCTTCAACCCAAGCTTTTGCTTATAGGAGGTCAGCAAACTTACAACTGTATTTATATAATTGAAAATGTGTTGGGAATTGTTTGCAAATAAAATAAAATTGTTATTATATTACTATTGTTAACGCGCTCGAAATTCTAATGCTGCGGGCCGACCAGAACGATAAATATACTAGCTGGCTAGTAACACACACCGTCGTCTGGGAGATTTTCTCGGAGATCGGTCTATATGTGTTGAAATATTCTTATTTAGCTCATTACCAATTCTCAATCGATTCTAAAGGACACGCAAAAATTATTTTCGATATTCAAAACTTACAAAGTATGGCAACTAACATCGACCGCGCCGCGGTAAACGTGTTGTTAATGGAAATGTTGGAGGACATTATTACGGACAAAACAGAAGGAGCACTCGCCGATAAGACTGAAGAATATCTCGTTCGTCTGGTCGCGCCCGTCCTGGCTGCCATTGACATGGTCACAACCGTTGGTGACGTGCAGACCCTGGAGTCGGAGTCGGGAGACTCGACTCTCGGAGGTGCAGCAGGAGAGGCGTGGGCAGCTGAAGGCGTCGAGATGACCGTCACCTCGCACGGTGGAGGAATGCCGAGCGGCGACCAAGACACGACTGTACGCGAAGACGGCAAGGCGCCTCCAAAGAGGTGGAAGAGCCTGAGGCGCTTCTTCCGCGGCCTTTGCTGCTTCTGCCGCCGATAAGGAGACGTCCGAAGCTGGGCGAAGACGGCGGACAGGAAGACGGCGACGGAATGGAGGGGAGGATGCGGGAAAGAGCACGGACGGTGCGCGGCGGTAAGTCGCCCGCGCACGTTCTCCGACCTGCACCCGCGGCGCGACGGGTTAGCTGGCGTGGCGAGCTCGGTCGTCGATGACGCGCGAGACCCTCTGGCGGCTCGGCGAGCGCCCGACCGCAGTCACGGTCACGCGGAGCGACGGCGACGGTGGACGGCGACGGCACGGCGGCTAGTATAGAGGTACCGGGCAACGATTCCGCCCCGACGGTACACCGACTCGGTGCGACGGCGATGGCGACTCGGTGCGACGGCAGCGGCGGAGACCTGGGCACGGGGTGAGTGGTGCGGAGATTCACGTGCTAGGAACACAAGGACGTCAGCGGCGCCGGACTCGCAGAAACTCAACCGTTTCAGGGTCTGGCGGCGCGCGGCGGCCGAAGGGACGACGCCAGGGCGAAAATTACCGAGAGTCGAGGATCACGCTGTGGTCCGCTGGCTCTCGCCTTTTCGCCCCGCGGTAATCCCAAGTCGGCCGCTTCGGTCGTCCCCACCGGTTCCGCAACACAGAATCTCACTTCGCTCGCTCCGCGTCTCGGTCTTCGCCGTCCGTCGGCCCGAGTCGACGACCGTCG